AGCAGGATGAAGCCCTCCAGAAGGCCGGGCTGCCCCGTGCTTCCCAGGACAAGGCTGTGCTTGGAGACAGAACGATGCAAATATCAGCTACTGCATCCTGACAAGGCCCTGCAGGTTCTCCTCTTCCCACATGTGAAATCCCCAGCTCCTGCTCCCGTGCTGTGTGTGGGAAGTGTCCCAGGTCACCCACAGCAGGACCCGTGGTGCAGGACAACAGCAGGAGCTGTGTTTTCTAGCACCACAGAACTCTTGGCAATGGAATTCACTGCCCCAGCCTCAGTGCAGCCCCCAGCCACCTTCCTCCTCATCCTCCTCCTCCTCTGTAGCCCCACACCAGGTTAGAGCTGACAGAGAGATCCCAGATCAGGAGATCACGGGGTGTGCCAGCTGCAAGGCAAATCCCATGACCAGTCAGAGAGCCTTGACAGGTCTCTGGGATGGCTGGGATCCCTGGCCAAAATTCCATGCCTTCCATTGTGCTGGAGTCAGCTTTGATGAGCAGAACAGCCCTGTCTGGCTGGCAAACGTCTGCCAGTGACCCACAATGCTTCTGTTGTCTCCAGAGCAGCGTCCTGCCTCGTTGAGTAGTTACCTTCTCCTTGCATCCCTGATCCGTGATAGGGGAGTGATGAGGCATCTGTTTTGTAAGAGTATTCAAATTCTCCAAGCTGCTTACAGACATTCAAAAGTGAATGAGCAGAAATTTCCTGACCATGAGAGTCTGTGGGTGCTGCTCCAAGCATGGAGGCAATTCCACTCAAAGCTTTTCGAGATCTGCTTCATAAGTTTTTCTCCTTGATACAGTTAATGTTCATTACTTACTGACTGCACTGCTGGCCACTCCTTTTTGGATGTGACCCCTGCACGGGCTCTGTCCAGGATGAGTGAGGGATGCGAGGAGTGACAGCTCAGCCCTGGCAGCACTGCTTCCCTGGAGCCTCAACAGACCCTGGAGCTCAGACAGACCCCGGAACCAGGACAGACCTGGAGCTCAGACAGACCCTGGAGCTAAGACAGACCCTGGAACCAGGACAGACCCTGGAGCTCAGACAGACCCCGGAACCAGGACAGACCTGGAGCTCAGACAGACCCTGGAGCTAAGACAGACCCCGGAGCTCAGACAGACCCTGGAGCTCAGACAGACCCCAGAGCCCAGGACAGACCCCGGAGCCTGGACAGACCCCAGAGCCCAGGACAGACCCCGGAGCTCAGACAGACCCCAGAGCCCAGGACAGACCCCGGAGCTCAGACAGACCCCAGAGCCCGGGCAGACCCTGGAGCTCAGACAGACCCTGGAGCTCAGACAGACCCCAGAGCCCGGGCAGACCGCTGCCCCTGTGGGCACCCACATCCCTGCTTTGAGCAGGGAATGACGAGCTCTTGCCAAAGGGCAGGAAAGCTGCCCGGTTCATTACTGCTTATCTCCAACACTTGTGCTGTCAGTGCCCTGGGATGGGCTGTGTCACCCAGCGTCCTTCATTTGCACCGGCTCCCATCAAAGTGGTGACAAAGGAGCTTTCCCCAGACCGAGCTTTCCCTTTCCAGCTCTCCCAGTGCCCAGAGGGGACTCACCCAGCACGGGTCAGGCCCACGCTGAGACCAGCCCCGGTGCTGGCTGCCCTACCTGCCCTGCTGGCCTAATGGGGCTGGCCAGGAGTGACTCCTTAGGGAGATGAGCTGGGTCCTTTCCCTTTTCACAGCCACCTTCCCTGTCTGACCTGATGAAAGGGCAGAGCCATTGCCTAAGAACCTTCTCTCCTGCCATCAACCTCACCAAACAAAATCCCTCCCTCTGCCGGGACAAGGACAGACACACCTGCGGCGTCTCACAGATCTTGTCTGCCTTACACCGAGGACATTGGTTCCTGCTGCCCTCCCTTCCAGGCCACATGGAGATGGAGGGGACTCGGAGTCTGGAAAAGCAAGTGGAAAGAAAATAGGTTACTTTCTTTAGCGGGACAAAGATAAAGGAGATGCTTTGAATTTTTGCACAGGTGAAGTATGTGGGGAGGCAACAAATGGAGTGTGGCCTGAGGTTGCTCCCAGGAAGCAAAGAATAGATGTCAGATTTTAAACTAAACCAAGGGAGTTTCATATTAAACAGTGCCCTGAGAAGCTGTGCTAAGCTTGGATTCCTTCCTTCCTTCCTTCCTTCCTTCCTTCCTTCCTTCCTTCCTTCCTTCCTTCCTTCCTTCCTTCCTTCCTTCCTTCCTTCCTTCCTTCCTTC